ATTTTTTAATGGCTCAGGAAGTCATTTGTGAGACTTAATTAATGTGATTTCAGGTTATTTTCAGTTACAGAACAATAAAAATATCCTGAGAAAATCAGTTCTGACTTTAATTTTGATCTCAAAAGTCCAAAAGCCATGAAAACCAAAACACAAATATTGATACCAAGTTATTTGGATTTATTAAAGTCTACCCAACTACAAAGATATTTGGATATATCTGTGATCCTGCAGAACCCCACTGCCAACCCTCATTAGCAACTCACTTTTCTTTTTTTTTTTAAGACAAGGTTTGGGAATGCACTAAACATGTCCATATTCATATTATTCCCCTAGATGACGATGAAAAGCTGGTATCAACATTAATTCTCTGTGCCTCTAGAGTCTAAATTTAAACATACAGAGCAGCATTACTGGATGCCCCCATTCACTTTACATTCTCTAAACAGTTTCCTGTTATCTATAATGTGCACTATTGGCTATATTGCAGCTATTAATCCATAAACTGTATTCAAGGGATGCAGGAAGGGGTACTCCCCAGACAGACAGACTCTCAGGAGGTATTTTGACTGAGTCTCCATGGGGGAGCATGTGCCTCAGTGGGAATTGCAACACTTTCTCACAAAGCATAGTGTTCACCCTTCTCTGAACTAGGTCAGTGACACTAGATGTTACGTTTCAGAGTGACACTATAGGTCAGTGACACTAGATGTTACATAGCCCTACATCTCCATCTCTGGGGGACTGCAGCAATGGAATCAACGCCTACCTTCCCAGGGTAAGGACTGGGGTTGTGGGTGGCTCCTGCACAAAGATAGTGGAGTTGAGAGGGAAGGTTCTTTATGTCTGTGCAATGCTAGCCATCATACAGCCCTATGCTGGCCCTGTCTAAAGGCCTAGAAGAAAGACTATAACTCACTTCTGTTCTGCAGTTGCAACAGGTAGAATCTTCCAACATATTCCCTTAAACACCCTTCCAACGTAAAAACATAGTAGATAGTCTCCAGCCTCCATTTGTCAGCCAACATTTGATTCTGGGCCTATCCTGACAGACTCAGATTTGCAAATGGGATGAGAGTTGAGCTCACTAAGAGAGCAGAGAGACACTCTGGAAAGTAGTTTGTCCCTGAGGTCCAAGTGAGGTTTTGTAAGATAACCAGTGATTATACTGCTTGGGCTTAATATTGTGAAATTCAACATAAAGGAAGCTTACAGTGTTGCCTGATCCCAGGAACACAAAATCAGAGCTATTCACAGTCATTCTCGATCATTTCCTGCTTGTCGCAGGGCCATTGTTTACTTCCTCTCACTGAGTAAACCATAAAATCTTCCATTGAAAATCAGTCTCATGCATAATTATTTCTAGAAACTCCATAAAGGCTTGATCCTGTGAAGTATCCTCAGTTCTCATAGTATTTCAGCACCTTGAAGAATCATCAAGGGACTGATATGCATTAGTCATAACGGGAGTTGTGGGTGCAAATCAAAATGGGAATGTTCCTCTTAGTTGTAAATCAGATGAAATTCTTGGATTTATATTGTTTCTGCACACAACCAATGAAAAGCAACTAACTTTTTCATAAGAGATATTCAACATCAAGTGGAGCTAGTCAAAATTTGTAATTAAAAAAAAAATACTGAAAAAGACAAGGGAAACTTTTCCCACTTGTCATCAAACTCTGCTACCAGGTATTATTTAGTTAAGGATATCACATCATGAATTAGACTTTGTTTGCCCACAACAGTTGGGCAAACAAGTTATATAATAGGCTAGGTATAAAACTGATAATCAAATTACCTGCTTTAAAGACCAACTTGCTATGAAAAAATGCCCTCCATAATAAATGAACTTATCTCCTTCTGACTGTACTTAATAGATGTAATCTTATTTAACACCAGCCCCCTCTGTGTTTTTCCACACAATTGCACCACTTTTGATGCAAGAACCTTTTGTTCCGCAACCCCTGCCTTCTTAGAACACCATTATCACTGGCACCGGTTTATTAATTTACTGAGTGCTCATAAGGGCTCCATAAAAACAAAGGGGAAAAAACCAACACCATAGCCTTTGGCCAGAGGTTCTTGCAATGCAAGGCCCCAGTTCTGCCACAAGATTTTGAGGTGGTAGAATCCATTCACCTAGCCATCCAAAGCATATCACCCATCTCAGTGATTTCCAGGCACAAAGTAAAGGGGGGGGGGATGAGACAATTAGAAGCAGCTTGAAGCCCACTCCCTCTCCATCCAAAGAAACAGATCATTTTAAAATGGAGCTCCCTCAAATTTGCTCCACCTACATTCCATACTACATTCTTGAGGTAGAATACTATTCACTGCCCCCAAACCATCATCAGTTCCCATCCCTTATACTCTGGTCCAGTACGCCCTTTGCTCACTATGCTTCCTTCTCCTCAGTATCACAGTGATGTTACTCTAGTTGGCTTCCTTAACAAGCAGCCATTCCCCATAGTAGTAACAGGTGGATAGATGGTTGGTCCTGTCACCTTTCCTGGCCATAATGGTGTCAGGAAAGTCATCCTGTGGTTATTGGCTGTGTTGAGGTTTGTCTGTTGGGATTGGTGGTCAGCTAGGTAATGGATCTTATTTGCTTTTGAGATGGGCAGGTAGCTGACTTGGAGACCCATAGAATTACAGAAATATAGAGCTGGTTGGGACTCATTGCACTGCGGCAGGATTAAGTATACTTAGACCATCCCTAACAAGTGTCTGTATAATCTATTGTTAAAATCCTCCAATGACAGGGACTCCAGAATAGACGAATTCATCTCCTAGGCTGGAGAGTGGGTTGGGTTCAGGCTCCTCCCAGTATCAGCTCTCCAGATTCTGAGCAAGCAGCAGACACTAGTGGGAAGTAGCAGGATCAAGTTCGGCAGTAGCTTGAGTGTCTCTGCATTAAGTTTAGAAGCGTGAGCAACAAGGGTGATATTGTGGTGGGAGTCTGCTATAGACCGCCAGACCAGGGGGATGAGGTGGACGAGGCTTTCTTCCGGCAACTAACGGAAGTTACTAGATCGCAGGCCCTGGTTCTCATGGGAGACTTCAATCACCCTGATATCTGCTGGGAGAGCAATATAGCGGTGCACAGACAATCCAGGAAGTTTTTGGAAAGTGTAGGGGACAATTTCGTGGTGCAAGTGCTGGAGGAACCAACTAGGGGCAGAGCTCATCTTGACCTGCTGCTCACAAACCAGGAAGAAATAGTAAGGGAAGCAAAAGTGGATGGGAACCTGGGAGGTAGTGACCATAAGATGGTCAAGTTCAGGATCCTGACACAAGGAAGAAAGGAGAGCAGCAAAATATGGACCCTGGACTTCAGAAAAGCAGACTTTGACTCCCTCAGGGAACTGATGGGCAGGATCCCCTGGGAGAATAACATGAGGGGAAAAGGCGTCCAGGAGAGCTGGCTGTATTTTAAAGAATCCTTATTGAGGTTACAGGGACAAACCATCCTGATGTGTAGAAAGATTAGTAAATATGGCAGGCAACCAGCTTGGTTTAACAGTGAAATCCTTGCTGATCTTAAATACAAAAAAGAAGCTTACGAGAAGTGGAAGATTGGACAAATGACCAGGGAGGAGTATAAAAATATTGCTCAGGCATGCAGAAGTGAAATCAGGAAGGCCAAATCACACTTGGAGTTGCAGCTTGCAAGAGATGTGAAGAGTAACAAGAAGGGTTTCTTCAGGTATGTTAGCAACAATAAGAAAGCAAAGGAAAGTATGGGCCCCTTACTGAATGAGGGAGGCAACCTAGTGACAGAGGATGTGGAAAAAGCTAATGTACTCAATGCTTTTTTTGCCTCTGTCTTCATGAACAAGGTCAGCTCCCAGACTGCTGCATTGGGCAGCACAGCATGGGGAGGAGGTGACCAGCCCTCTGTGGACAAAGAAGTGGTTCGGGACTATTTAGAAAAGCTGGACGAGCACAAGTCCATGTGGCCGGATGCGCTGCATCCGAGAGTGCTAAAGAAGTTGGTGGATGTGATTCCAGAGCCATTGGCCATTATCTTTGAAAACTCATGGAGATCGGGGGAGGTCCCGGACGACTGGAAAAAGGCTAATGTAGTGCCCATCTTTAAAAAAGGGAAGAAGGAGGATCAGGGGAACTACAGGCCAGTCAGCCTCACCTCAGTCCCTGGAAAAATCATGAGCAGTTCCTCAACGAATCAATTCTGACGCACTTAGAGGAGAGGAAAGTGATCAGGAACAGTCAGCATTGATTCACCAAGGGCAAGTCATGCCTGACTAACCTAATTGCTTTCTATGACAAGATAACAGGCTCTGTGGATCAGGGGAAAGCAGTGGCCGTGTTATTCCTTGACTTTAGCAAAGCTTTTGACACCGTCTCCCACAGTACTCTTGCCAGCAAGTTAAAGAAGTATGGGCTGGATGAATGGTCTATAAGGTGGATAGAAAGCTGGCTAGATTGTTGGGCTCAACGGGTAGTGATCAGTGGCTCCATGTCTAGTTGGCAGCTGGCATCAAGCGGAGTGCCCCAAGGGTTGGTCCTGGGGCTGGTTTTGTTCATTATATTCATTAATGATCTAGGAGAACTTCAGAAATAAAAGGGCTAGTGATTTCTCCACCCCATACAGAAGGTAAGATTCCCTCTCACAGAGCTCAAAAGGTGGATTCTGTTAATGACGAGCTCACATGAGGCCCTAGCAACTCACTGGTGAAAAGCATATGGAAAAAGTTTGTTTGTTTTTAATAAATCTTTAAGGTTCAAAATAATTATTTAAAGTAAGAGATTAGACATCATGAATGTGTTTGGTATTAATCATGATTAATTCATTTGCTATTTTCCGGATATTACAATAACACTATAATATAGTCATTAACGTGTAACCCATTATTTTAAAACATTAAGACAGTTTCAGCAAGAAAGCTCTTTGAATAAGGCTGTAATCTCTGTCCTTCTCTCCAATTTGTGGCTTACTGCCTTATCAGTAACTCTTTCTGATGTATGCTTTTCCTCCCCAGTACAATGTCCGGGCACTGTGGTCTTGCTAAGTCCCTGCACCTTAACTCAAGAATTACAGAAGTAAAGGGTAATACTTTCTGCCTGAGAGCTCTACATTTCATTCAATTTCTCAGAGAATATGTTTATATATAGAATTCTTCACATGGTTTAGCTCACTATTTTTTCCTTTATACTACAGAAAATATGTTATTGTAACTGCAAAGACAGGCCATCTTGGTACACCCTGAAAAATCCTATTGTTTACCATATGAATGACAGGCACAGAGGATGGACTCTGAAGATCAAAGATAAGATTGTATCATCAAATGTGGCATACAAAGACACAGAAAAAGGAGAGGACCCGATCAACTGTGAACCTTTAATCTATTCTTTGTTTGCATACTGCATGCTATATAATAAGAAGGAACTATAACATGGGGACATTTTAAAAACACTCTCTTTTGTTTGCTTAGTATTGTCCCTTAAAGTCTTGAAAAACTGTTCTGTGAGCACTCTGTCTAAACAAATGTCCACATTTAATCACCCCAAATGCACCTTCACTGCATACCAGATGTGTCATTAACTATTGCTGAAAAAAAGTGAAATAAAGTCACCCAGCATGAGAATACTGTGGAATAAGTCAACACTAACAGATGGTGTTTATTTTGTCACTGCTTGTGTTAAAAATTACCACCTATTCCATCAAATCAGTTTCTTTAAGGTGGACTCTTTATGTAAAAAGTGCCACAGAAAATGTTTTGTTTTTTTTATCAGCTGTCACTGAGTTCCTTAAAATATGAGCACTTCTTTTCATGGTTTCCAGTTTTCTAGGACATGGTGCAATACACAGGAGATAGGTTTGTATAAATCTGACACGATAGAGTATTTTGCCAGCAACTCTGTCTTGCAACATGCAATCTGTTTTGTTTCTCAAACAAAGTTTGCAAATTTGCTAGCTTGAATATGGTGTTTTCAAGATACAAATTCCATAACAAAGATTAAATCTGCCCTTGGGATTAACCCACTTGATACTGTCATCAATTTGTTTGTTTCTAGTACCCAATCCGTAAGGATTTTTTTTTTTTCAGAATTTCTTCCATTCTCACAATTTTTAATTTTTAAGCACATAAATTTTGCTATGCAGTTTACATGCTCTAGTGGATGATTTCTGGGCAAAACAGCATGTTCTGAGAAAAGTAATTGTTACATCTGAAGCTGGCTACTATAGAAATCAATGCTAACACCCAAGGATATAAATACATTTTTGCTTACCCTACTTTATAAGAGTTTCTGTTTTTTTTAAACCTGTGCTAGGACAATGAAACTGAAATATTTCAAATCCACAGTAAAATAAAGAGGGTCAAATTCATCCCTTGTGTAACTCCATTGACTTTAATGGAAGAGAGACTTCAATGGAGTCACAACAGAGTGCATTGTGTCCAGTGTATGTAAGTATAATTTACAACAATAATGGAACACATTTGTTTCTGAAGATTACTGGAAATGAGTTTTCAGAACAACAGCCGTGTTAGTCTGTATTCGCAAAAAGAAAAGGAGTACTTGTGGCACCTTAGAGACTAACCGATTTATTTGAGCATAAGCTTTCGTGAGCTACAGCTCACTTCATCGGATATAGCTCACGAAAGCTTATGCTCAAATAAATTGGTTAGTCTCTAAGGTGCCACAAGTACTCCTTTTCTTTTTGGAAATGAGTTTGTTATTTTAAATGTCATGCTACAGAAATTAGAGACCCATACCAACTCCTCAGATCCCAAAATTAACAACTCAAAAAGTAATTACACTGAAACTAGTTTAGGTAAATTATTTTTGGTTTGTAAATCAGAAACTACAACTGAGTCTACAGATATTTATTGAAGAAAACTTGTTGGGGGAGTTATATATATTACATATGCATATATTTATACACACACACACAAAATTAACCATCACTATTAAAAAACCTATCAGCACTAGAAGGATGCTACAGAATACCACGAACACTCTGGAGTCAATTCCATTGTCTTGAGTTATATATTTGCAGTGTACACAATGTGTGTGTATCACACACACAAAAATCATGTCAAAAGAACATTAATGTTGCATAGTTAAGGGCTTGGAAGTTAGGAAATGCTATAATTAAGGTTTCCTGTGCAACCTTAATGTGCCCCCCAGTACATATGTATTTTGCTACAGTTTTTAATTACATGATCACATACTATTTTGTCCAATGGACTCCTGGCCACCTTCAGTACACAGTATAGGATGATGCTCAGTTAAATGACCAACTATTCAATATTTTGTTTTCTTCTCATTGAAAAATGTATGGCCTCAGACCTTATTTACTGCACACTATTCAAGCCCTGCTCTGAAGACAGAATTACTATCCTTGTGGGCTTTTCACTTTGGCCTCTGAGTGATTCAGAAATGTTTACAAATTTATTTTCACAACATCCCTGTGTGGGGAGAGGGTATTATTATCCCCCACATTGTAGATCAGGAACTGAGGCACAGTAAGATTAAAGTAAAACGAATCCACAAAGTTAGGATTAGTGAGACTAATTTTGAGACATTTAGGACCCGATTTTCCAGAATACTTAGCATTATACAGCACTTCCTATGTTTAAAGCATAGCACTGGTTGACTTCAGTTTCAGCTATGAGTGAAAATCAGACACTAGGATTCAAGTCAGGCACCCAGAAAATGAGGAAACAATTAGTGACCACCTCTGAAATGTCTGATTTAACTGATTTGCCTAGCATCACACAGGAACTCAGGGTATGTCTCTACTGCAATTAAAAACTCATGGCTGGCTTCCACCAGCTGACTCAGGGTCATGGGACTCAGGCTAAGGGGCTGTTTAATGGCGGTATAGACTTTCGAGCTCAGGCTGCAGCCTGAGGTCTGGGACCCTCCCACCTCACAGGGTCCTAGAGCCCAGGCTGCAGCCCTCACCCAAGTGTCTATACCGGAATTAACCAGCTCCTTAACCTGAGTCCCGTGAGCCAAAGTCAGCTGTCATGAGCCAGCCATGGGTTGTTAAGAAAGCTTTTTAAGGGGTAGAAAAAGAGCCCTTAAATTCAAACACTATGATTTATCAAAATAAATCAAGAAGTTATCATAGAATTAAGTGTTTTGCTGAATAAGGATAGTTTGCTGATGGTTCAATTGCTTAATAATGCCCCAATCCTGCAATCTCAGCCACATGGCTAGACTCTTATGATTGTACAGAGTCCCACTGAAGTCAGTGGGGCTCGGCATCAATGCAGGAGTGAGCACACACAGATCTGATTGCAGCCTAAGTCAGTATCACTATGTCTTCTTTTATCCTAACACGAAATGTCCTCTTTTTCCTCTGGAATTCCTGGAGGGCGGGGGAAGAAGTACTGGCCTAACATAACTCAGAAATTATTCAAGAACATAATGCTTATCTAAAAATTAACCTGATATTGTGAGAGCTTGGGTTACATGGTTCAAACACGGAGGAGAGCTTTAAGCAACTTCACCATATTCAAAATTGATAAATATAAATTGCATATCAGCCTGATAGACAAGTCATGGTTTTGGCCATACCGTGTCACTGGGCTTTGGGTAAAAAGAAGAAAGTATTGGGAGAATAAAATCTGTTATGCTAGTTTTATAACTCTGCAAACACATATCAGATCTGAGTGCCTTCCTGACATTTCAAGACTATAACAATTTAATAATAAATAATAATAAAAAAGATGGTCATGGTGCTAAATATGGGCATACATAACTAAAATATAACAGGACACAAAATAAAACAGTACAAACAGAATACATTAAAAACAAAAGGACTAAAATGCTAAAGCCGTGAAGCACCATGAGAAAGGATAGCCCTACTGAGGAAGTGGACAACCTCTCTAAAAAAAAGAAGTACCTTCATTAGTTTCTTTAAAAATGGGAGGGGATGAGACAGATCATCCACAGGCAGCAAGTTCCACATGCTGGTGGCCAGGCATGTGGAGTCAGAGCACACACACATTGCCACCAGCATGATCCTCAAGAAGGATGCTTCGGTGAGTTATTTTTAGGGTGATCACATAGCAAGTATGAAAAATTGGGACAGGAAGTGGCGGGTAATAGGTGCCATTATAAAATAAAGCCCTGAATATCGGGACTGTCCCTATAAAATAGGGACATCTGGTCACCCTAGTTAGTTTTAAAACTACAATAATCTGTTTTTTGATAGGCAGAAAATGTGAAAGACTTGGGGTGATCTTCACGGGCTCAGTCCCGCCAGATCCTGAGCATGGACCATGGAGCACACCGACAACTTAGGGTGCTCAGAATCTTATAAAATAAAGCTCAGTATGAATATTGCTGACCAAACATGCTACTGCACTCATCTGTAAGGCAGGTCTGAATGGTATCTTTCTAACTACATTTCCAAAGTGCCCATCCCTACAGTACCTAGGCTCAGCACTTAGCTGCCCTTCCTCTAATTATCTCTTGCTGAATGTTTTGGTGAGCAGTGATGACATCTTGTTCCTTGGCACATACTGAATGTATAAGAGTATCACACATTTAGTCAGTATACTGCAAACAATTCATGTACTTAGCAAGCACACGTATGAACTGGACACCTCTCAAATGAAAAACTGAGGATTTTACTCACGCTAAAACAAAGACTCCTGTACAGCTAACAGACCATGTGCACTAATAGGGTTACAGCACTATTTGGATGTATCCTCATCCAGAAAACACTTTAAACCAAGTGTTGGTGCTGTCCGTTTTTGGCAGTCAGATGGATGTTAAAGACCCCATGGCATTTTGGGTTTTTTTTAAAAAGAATAGAGATAAAGCTGGGTCTTGATCCTAATTCCTTCTCTGAATTATCAACATAATAGATTAAGCTAGCACTACCAGTGACAACATCTGTATGTATAAGCTCACTCTTTTCTTGTAACAATTACAGTACACAATATGCAATACATTCTTCTACAAAGCTATGCCAAACCCTATGTGTAGAAATGATTCCATACGCAGAAAAGTCCCCAAGAGACGATTAATTTCTTTCCATTTCTTTGCCACGTGTTTATATTTTTATACTTTTTCCTCAGTTACAG